CTTGGATGGAAAGTTTTTGCCGAGTCAAAAGAGGTCGTCACACATTCTTTTGCAGTTCTCTTCATTAATTCATCCTTGCAGGAGCACTTTCTATCATGCTGAGAAGGTAGAAGGGTGTAATAGAAGAGCCCTGAAACATCAGCAGGAAGCTCTAAGCTGGTTAATGCAGTATAATTGTCTGGACATAGACTGGCCTTTGTTTGTGCGGTTCACTTCGAATCAGCTGTAATTAACTCCAGAGTGTTTCCAGATTGCCAGCAAAAAAAATTACAGCTTTTCTGTTTTAAATTGGAGAGCTCACAAAGACATTAGCTATGCAGATTGGTTTACTTTGATTTGTTCCTTTCTTATAAGTGAAGGGTTGTGTAGTTTCTAAAAACTGTTTTCAGTTATTGTAATTTTACGTAAATTGGGGTTTTTTCATGTCCAAGAATCATTTTAACATGGTCTTTGTTCCCTAAGCAAATAGGTTTTAAGCTTGTATTAGGAAAAATTAAGACAGTTAACAATTCCATTTTGATATATCAGTAACTCAACAAGCAGTGAGCTTGCTATAACATAATTTTTGTTTATATAAGTGCTATATCACCAACAAATTGCACCATATAGAGAGTAACAAATATGTGGCTAAGTTTCTACTGAACAATTTCAAATATTCTGAAAGGTGGCCAATAGACTGAAAAGCTAAAGGAAAATTTGCTCAGCTAAAGATTAGTTAATAATTGTTGGCCATAAGTCACCTTACTTTAGTTAGGAAACCTGAAGTAATCTCACATAATTACTGCCTTTTTGTGAAAAATATGGCACCTGCATTTAAGACTTAAATAGGACAAGTGCAGTAACTGTTTAACTCTACTCAATCCATGACTGGCAAAGCATCTACCACACCCTGCTACTACATACCACAGTTCCTACTGATGGAGTCAGAAATAAACTAAAAGAAATATAGCACAGCTTTGGTTGCAAATGCATCTAATAATCTTGTACAATGAGCAAAAATCTGTCAAGGTTCAAGGAAAAGTTTGTTGCATTGTATTTTTTCTGTTAGATTTGAATAAAATAGTGCTTAATCTAAATGTGAGTTTAGTCAGTAAAAGGGCTCTTGCTGTCTGAATAATCCTACTTTGATGGATTTTTCATCAGCCGTTTGTATGTGGCAACAAATAAACAAGTATAATTACACTTGTGAAGGTCTATTCATTCCTTTGTCAGGATTAGATATATGTGCAGTTTTCGCACTGATCCTCTCTTTTGTCTTTGCCTAACTCAGTATGACATATTGATAGAGGATTTGGCGTGGACAAAAAGGCCACAGCAGAGACAGTGATGACCTTTCGAAAACTTGATATAATTCTGGCATAATTGTATTTGTTTTTAAGAAAGTTATGTAAGTTCTAACTTTGCGTGGGTTGAACTGGTGTTTTATGTGGACAGCTTTTAACCTGCCTCTAACACTGCAAATAAAGAATTGATGTTGAATAAGGGAACTAAACAGCAGATGGAAAAACAAAAGAAACAAGAACCCTATTGGTCTTTTTTTTCCCAGCATTTAACAGTGTGGCAAACCTAGCATTCCTCTGCCATTATTCTCTTCTCTTGATCAGATCACGTTCTTTTTAATCACTTCTCAAACACTGTCTCACTGGAGCGGAGAAGAAGGCTGGGACAACCTCAATTAAAAAACAGAGGTATAATTGGCATTTGTGATTCTAGTTCTTTGTTCCAATGGGAACTGAACATTCATTCAGAGCAGAGGCATTGCCCTATTGTTTAACATGTACACTTTTTGTCAGTTAATCTTAGTGTAGGAGTATCGATTATTTTGCTTGTAGCCATTCAACCTGTATTTGCTGAAGGAGGAAAAGAGGAGTCAGCAATTCAATCATATATGAAAGTCAGTTGTTTGTATTTAAGAAAGCTGATTTTCTTCTACAAATTTGAGCAAAACAATAAACTGAACAGATCTGTGTTAACAGCAAAGTGTGCTCCCTAGTTTGGGGATCATAGCTCAAAATAAAATAATTCAGAAAATAAGACATATTTATCAAATTATTGGGAAATACGTTTTCAAAACACCAAAGCATGCTTATAAAGCTTTTAGATGTTAAAGCTTTTTTAGGTAGTGTCTGAAGAAGAACTGAGGTCTTTGATTTGGTTTGTCTGCAGAAACCATGTATGTCCAAACCGCAGGTATCAGGATCAGTGTTCAGATGTATATAGCATATTTTATAATTTATCAGTTTATAATGATTCACTGTGTATTGCCCAGAAGGATGGAGATATTCCCCACAGGGTAATTTAGTGCTTGAAGTGTTAAGAAATGCGACATTACAAATCAAAATGTGCTGCATTTTGTCTTTCTTCATCATTGTAGATTTCCCCACTCTATAATTATCTTAATTGAATTGCTTTGTCTGTGTGCTTATATAATGCTTTTAATATATGCTACTTTGCATCTTTCTGGAGTTATAGGTAGAACCATTTACAAAGCAGTGAAGACATGTCATTTATCAATGTCTGCTTTTTCAGATGATGAAATGAAATAGTAGTCCTCTACATAGTACTACATGTTTCTAGCTTATTTCCGATGTAAATTATTCAGTGTTGGCGGATATTGGTGTATGTACACTATGTGCTAACAAGAGTAGATAGTCAAGTCTGGTCCTGTCTGCTCAACAAATGAAAAGTATACTAAGGCTGCTTTGTGCTGGAAATGACAAGAGAATACACTGCAGAGCTCATTTTGTATTTGAGTTGAGTTACCGAATGTGGATTAAAATTGGACCTGTTATAGTTGTGCACTCTTGATAGCACACAGGGTATTTAAATCTGTCTAATGTGTTCTGTTGCCACGTCTTATGACTGTTAGGAGTACAAAATCCGTACCTTAATTTCCGATGCAAATATTGTTGGTGTTAAATGCAGAGGTAAATGTGCCTGTGTGAACTAATTAGAAAATTATTAGTTTTTCATGGTCTTTGTGTTGATGTTCATTTCAGAGATGCTTTTTTTTTATGCTGCATGCAAGTCATGAGCATAATTAACCTGGAGCTCATCAATGATTAAAATTACATGCTAAGCTTTATGATATTCAATTCAGAGGCAATTAGACTGTCATTTTAGCCCATCTCAGACAGCAAAACTAATTTTAATTCATTTTCAATCTGTGTAAATCTTCTGATGTCTCTTAAACTGATCGTTTCCCTCTTTGACTTAGCTGAAGAGATTAGATTTGATTAGAGCAAAAAATTTAAGCAGCTATTCTTCAATACTTAATAGCAGAGAGCATCCCCCAAGCCTTATTTAGTCAGAAGTTGTTTTAAATTAATCCCCTAAATTGCTGCTTTCTGAGGTATTATGCATACAACACAGAAGAATCTCAGCTCTCCAAGTTTTTAGCATTTTGAGTATTTTTTTATTCACAGGTATGCAGTATGAAATTATGTTGTCTTATTGACACTGCCACGTGACAATTTTCTTAATTTTGATAATTGAGGTGTAAAGGCCCCAAGACATATACAGTGAGCTGCCTCTCCCCTTGCTCAAAGCCTTTGTTATGCATTGAAACCGAAGTGGCTGACCACCCTACTGTTGTGTGTAGTGCCATCATTCTGTAAACTGGGAGATCTGCAAGGACTAGAGACACTCCGGATCTATGCAAGTCATTAATATAAGCGTTGCAGCCCAGTGAGCAATGAGACTGAAGAATAGCAGAGTTTCTGCTTTAACTTTCCTCCTGTACTGCACCCTGCTGTGAAATAGTGATATGGCCTTTACAAACTACATTTGTATTTCCACTAAAGGGAATATATGAGCTGTGGTGCCTGCCTTGAGAAATGATTGAAGGCTTTTCATCATCGTGGCTTTCATATGATTTGTTAAAGATAGGAGAGAAGTTGATTGAGGTAGTTGCTGAGAGATGGGCAATACACCAGGACTGACAACATCAAAATTGTATTTGAAATAGTGTTCATTAGGTTTTGCAGTGAAAAAATTTGACTGAGTCTAATTTTCCCCAAGGATGGTAGGACTGGATGCACTAAATATTAATTTCTGTTTCTATGCCTATTGAAGTAGGTGAAGCGTGAGGAAGAATCCTGATTGGTGCTTAATCAGGGCTTGTTAGATACCTGCTGAGGGCTCTCACAGAAGGAAGATTTGAAGTAAGCTGATTTACTTGGTCAGATGAGAAGCAAAGAAGAGCTCAATCTTTTTTGTGGTATTTTAATAATTTGCTTACTTTTCTCTCATGCTATTGGATTTATCTGATAAAATATGCTAACAGTAAAAAAAAGCCCACAGCCAACTTTATAATCTGAAGATCTTTTGAAAAGATTTAGTGAAAGATGTAAACTGTTGCCTCTAGTTTTCTTTCTGCATTTGCAAGGAAAGTATTGCCAAGATTATACTTTGCAAAGGAGTCGATTAGTATTCATGGAAATGTAAGGGAAATGGTGAGAGCATAAAAGCAGTGTCTTGCATCTTACAACTGTTATCAAATATCTCTTGCTAGAATTCTTGAGTGAAAATCAGTATCATTGTAGGTTTTCAATCTTCCTTA